GTAATATTAATGCTATTTGCATTAGATTTTAATAACTCCTTAAGATTTTCTTTTGTCCAATTATAACTATTGCGTATTATTTCTTTGCATTTTTCTTCAGTTGGTATTCTAAATCCTGGTTCAAATTCATGAAGCATATTTCGAAATGCATCATTTCGGAGGATATTTAATGGTTGACAATCAATAATAATAAAAGTTATAAAAGACTGTTCCAAAGATAATTGACGCTTTATAGTAATATATTTCATTACTGTTCTAATATCACCATCTGTATTTACTGGCTCTTCTGGATGATTTTTATCAATTCTATGATCTCGCCAAAGATGTCCTTGAGCAGTAGTAGTTGAAGAACCTTTTATCCACTTATAACGTTTTATAATACTTTTATTTTTGCACACCTGACAAACAAGATATAACTGTTTTTCCTCTTCATCATACTCCTCAAAATAGTAGTCCCAAATAATACTTGAGTTTTCTCGTCTACGTTTGTTATTGGTTTCATCCATTTTTTGAAATAAAAATTGAACAAAGAATAAGATGATGGTAAATTGATAAATTGATTTACTTTACATTGTATTACGATTCACAAATTTTAATATAAAAATTAATTTAAATATTTTATAATATATTTTTCTATTCTAAATAAATTTTAATTTAAATCTTTAAACTAATTTTATATATAAACCGGTTTGAAATCATAAACCGATTTGAGTTTAAAACTGATTTTATATTAAAAAACTGGTTATCGGATCTTTAAATTTTTTTTTTAAAACTGGTTACTAAATAAATGGACTAAAACCGAAGACTGAAAACCGGTTTTGAAGCACTAGAAGGGACATAGGATTGGATCGATCGTCATTCGCAAATTTGCAAATATTCTCTCAATTTGTGAAAATGTGATGATCGAAGTTGTTATAGATCACCGTGAGCTCCTGATGCTTTTGAACTTCTATCATTAAATAATGACTTTCTTCCTCTTGTTATACAAGGACAAGATAAGCACTTTCTTAATCTATTGCATATATTGGAATATTTTAGTGATCGGCTTCCTGGCTATGATAAGCATTGCTCAAGCATTTCTCCTGAATTGTATCAAGAATTTATGTGCAAAAAGTGTGAAAAGTATTTTCTAATAAAGGTATTTATAAAAATACATGTTAAGACTATGCATTGAGAAAAAAGAGCACAAGTAATTCAAGACGAACAATCTACAATTCTAGCAGGAAATCGTGATGCATCGAAAGAATCAGCAGATTATAAGAAAAAACCTCAATCTATTGGTTAAATTGGTTAAAGAGATAACAAAATTATAGCTACATAACAACAAATAAGAGGCAGTAGGCATAAAAGAGATAGAATAAAGAATTTACAACCTTAGAATCAGGATTATCTTATATTTCAAATTAACTTTTAGTGATATGTAATGATAAAATTGTTTGATTTAAATTTTAAATAAAAGGTTTCAAGATTAAGTCTAATAAATTAAACTTTTAATTTTATGAGCAAAGTTAAATTGTTATTATATAATTAAATTATTCACGTGATTAAGTTATTTCTTTATTTGATTTTATGACAAGAGAAGGGGGGGAGGAAAATTTCAAAAAATCAAATGACATCATTTCTGGTCCTCCCCTTATCATCTTGAAAATAATAACTATGATGCTAAAAATAACGAACAAAAAAATATTTAAGAACATTGTTTTAAATTAATTTTTGATATATGCGAAATTTTATTGTTGGAGAAAAAGAAATATTAAAGCACTTCTCTAGAAATATCCCTTTAATATATTTTATAATTATCTGATAAAATTAAATACCCATATATACTAGCATAGAGAATTCACATTAAAATATAGATCTGAAATAATCGTAAAATATTTTCATAATTTTACTTGATTCCTTTAAAATCTCTCTATTTCTGAAAAAAGAAAATTATTAAGATCCTGTCTGGTATCTATAACTAAAGATGAAAAAAGTTAGTGCATTCTTGTATTCCCATACTTCCTTATTCCCATAATATATTTCAAACAATAAATAATATTAATATTTTTATAAATGCTTGGCTGTGAGGTCTTATGCAAAAGAAAAGTTTTTTATTAATAAAAATTTATTGAAATATTCATTAGGATTCCTTTAGGATTAAGTAAGTATAATATGTAAATAAGCTATATTATGCATAACGTCTTTGGCTAAAATACTATTTCCTATTTCATTTTTATCTAAAGAAAGATCAAAGGAAAAACTAAATATCTATCTAGATTTTATTTTTTACTTCGATTTAAGAATATAGGACTTCTTTTTCCTTTGTGACACAGTTTGATATAAAAAACTTTCATTAACTTAAATAAATGTAGATCATAATATAAGGTCTATTGAAAGGAAATAGGCAGGTTATTTATAAAAAATTTTAGATTTCTGCAGACAGTTCTGCATGAATCTTTTTATGAAAAATTAGCTATTTTAGAAATAAATTTTATCAGAAGCATTGGCGTAAATTTTTCACCCCTTATATTTCACGATTTGCAAATATGCACAGCTTATCTAATAAAATATACTGCTTATTTGATATAGCTCCTTCTTTTTAGGTAAAAAAATTGTGCTAAAAGTAAAATCTGATAAACATGCTAAACTGATATGATATAAACTTATATTAACAGAGTAATGATATATCTACTATTTATTATCTAAATTAACTGATATACTCTTATTGAAAAAATCAAAATAAAAAATATTCATTATAGATTGAGATCTGTAAAAATAGTAAATGATAAATCACCCATACTGGATTACATATTGCTAATCCTATTCAAAAAATGGATTAAGATTTGATTAACCTATACACATAATTTATATGTGTTAATGTTAATAGAATAATAAAATATATCATTTATTTGAGGATCTGTAAATCATTAATTCTAATCAGCTCTATTTCCATTTTTGATTTTTTTTAATGTTGCTCTGTCTTATAATCTGTAAAATATAAATCAAAAATATATTTTTTTATTAGTAATTCAGAACTGCGTAATGAATAAGATAAAATATATCAGAATTTCTTTTGGTTTAGCGTTAGGGAAGTTCATCAGGATAGATATAAAAATATTGCTTTTGGCTGAGATTATTAATAGATCCTATGACTGCGAATGCCAGTGATATACTACTACGTCTAACATATTTTGCAGATATAATTCACATGATTCAGTGAGGTAGTGATATCTTACTGCAGAGTGTCAAAAGAAAATATAAATAATGTTTGCATGCTATCTAAACCATTCACGTGACTTTAGGAGAATATTTTTTATCAAATGATTATTTGTTCACGCATTTCAGGATCCTTATTTTCAGCATCATTAAGTAAATCTACTACTCTTTCTGTAGTTATCACTTGGTATAATATCGCAACTGATCTATGGCTCAACCATCCTTTTTTACTTTTTTCCACTTGAGTGATGAAGCCAACTATACAATTATCTATTTTATTTTTATAATATTCTGCTTAAGAGACGAGTTCATCTTGATTGAATACATCACAAAATGTTTTCATACTAAAAAGTTCTCTTATTAAAGAGTGATATGCTTTTTCTCTTAGATTATCACATTGGTTTTTGAGTTTAATCAAAAGATTAATAAAGTTATCAATCTAAAGCATACTTTTTCGATCATATGATAATACTTCATAAATTTTATCGACTATTAGACATTGACGTACAAGTTTTTGTATTTCTGTATCTATTACTGTAAAGCTTCTGAACTGGATCTTATTGACCGATAGTGTAAATTGAATATGTCTTTTATTCTTTTTACAAACCATACTCTTGACTTTAAGAAGTGTGAATTCAATATTATAGAACATGTAACATAATTACTATAAAGAAGAATAAATGACATTTTACCGTACATAATATCTAAGCTACCTACTTTATTCAAAAAAAAAAGAAATGAAGTAATAACTAATCAATGCGAGTATTTTAAGCAGTCATCAGAGAGATGATAGGACTTTGAGTATGAGCCAAAGGTATAGAATCATTAAAATATATATTATGATTCTTGTGAATTTCTATGAGTATTTTATTAAAATTGTTATCATTTACTTGAGGGTCACTTTGTGACTGTTCTTTAAGCTTAGTTGGTATTTTATCCTCTACCTTTGCTATCTTTGCTATTTCTTCATATATGAGCCTTTCATAAAGTTCATGATTATACTCATTATCAGAGTTAGAGTCATTAAATTTAAAATATACATCAGAATCAGATTTATTGACATCAGACTCAGATTTATTATCTGATTTAAATAATCTATAACATCTGATAATGCGTCATTAAAATTATTATCTGAATCGTGAGCCAAAGTACTAGCCACAGTTTTAGAGATTTTGTTTATATGACTAGTGATTATTTTTGATTTGACTTGTTCTATAATATAATCGATTTGAGGATTAGTAAGCTTTGAAATTTTATCAATGCTACAGGTGATCTGATTAACCATACTCTAGTATATCATCAATCTTTTTCAGAGTTATAAAATTATATTCATAGCCAAATAACTTATTGATTTTTCTTACCTTACAGGTCATTATATGTAAATATCTATCAGAAATGTCCGCAAGATGTAGTTTCATTTTAGCATAAATTTGTAATCTTGCAGTCTTATCCACAAGTTTCTTATCTTTAGACCTAAGCTTCACAACTTTATCTTTGAATTTTTTAGATAATAAACACCATAATGTAATCTCTAATCACTTTGCTATAATCATTTAATTTCTTACAATATTTGCTTAGCAGAATGAATTAACAAGTTTTTTAATACTTATTGATTTGGAAATTAGGATTTTAGAAGAATAAAACTTTATAGTCTGAAGTTTACTGTCTGATGAGAGTAGCTCTTTCAACAAACCTTGAATAAATTTAGTTGCTATACTCGCTTTTACTGCCAATTTATCTTGATCGTTAACAAAATTAATGGTTTTTTCAATTTCTTCTGATATTTCTAAAGTATTCTGATCGTTAACTAAGTTAACAGTTTTTATATCATATGACACTTTTAAATCTATAATGGAATTTGCAATACATTTCTGAGCATAGTTCTATGAGGCATTTGCAATGACCTCTATTTCGCAAAATGATTCTGAAGAAGTACAATTATTAATTTTATCAAGGGTTTAACTTTTCAGCTCATTAACAATAGTAACTATATCTGTCATACATGTAGGATTAGGAGTAATATCCTTGACAGCTGATTTATGCTAGAATTTCTTCTCCTTGTTAAGTCACCTAATATCTTCACTAACGCTTTTCTTATGTATCTCATCTAAGAAATTATCTATCTCTTTCTTCTGTGATAATTTTTTATGATAGTTTGTACCTAAATTAAAATTAGATGAGTTATTATTAGAGGTATATCATTAGGAATATTATCAATTAGTGACTGGTTTTATTCCACTTTCGTGAGTCTATCTCTAAATTCAATATTTTCAGATTCCAATTCCTTAATTCTAGCCTTGAGTTTGGCACTTTCAGTATCACATCTCTCGTTATATTCCTCATTCACTCTTAGAAACTCAATATTCTTATGCTTAAGTTCAGCTATTTTAGCATTAAATACTGAGGGCTTTCTTCTAAGATTTATGTTCTCAGTCTCAAATTTAGTGATATGCTGTTTTGATAACTTAAGCTCAGATGATATAATCTATATATATAACTAATACACTGTATATAAATATTTAAAATAAAAATATGTAGGTTATTTCAGCTGATCATTAATCATGTTAACAGTTTTATCAAGTAAAATTTTTTTATTAATACATTATCACTGTGGAATTCTTCAACTTGAGTGGTCACGTTATCAAGTTTTTACTTGAAATTTATCACTGCAGCTGACTGTGATCAAGACGTTAGGATCTGCTTAACTTTTAACTTTAATAAATTTACAAGTTAGACTTAAACAAATCTATCAAGTATGAAGACTTGAAAGACGAGATTACAAACAATTTTAATTAAAGAATTCAGATGATGAACTCAATTACAAATAATGTATAGGGATCACATCAGACTATATGAAGACATGAAGAGGCAGAAAGATATAAGTTTTAAATGATTCCTTTATTATTATTGAAACTCATATTCACAAAAGAGTTAATTTATAATATAAGCAAAAAGTCTATATATTTATACAAAATTTCTTTTGTTACAGCTAACTATTTACTATGTTATAAACTAACTAATTTAGCAAAATAAAATATAAGTAAAATAAATATATTAAGCATAATAAAAATATGTAAAATAATAAAAATATAAGATAAAATAAAAATAACAATAAAATTTAGAATATTAAAAATACGTATAATGCTAAATATTCTTAGATTTCATTTCATTTGCAAAATTAGGATTATCATCAGTATGGAAGATTTTTAGAATTACATAAATTCTCTGTATTTTCAGAATTCGTAAAATTCTTAGTATTTTCAGAATTCGTAAAATTCTCAGTATTTTCAGAATTCTAGATTAAAAGATCATCATACTACGTTATCTACGTGACTTCATTATGACTGATCAATTGCTCTGTTGACAACATGCAAAAAAATAAATATATAGTTTAGGATTGCACCTGTGATACATATTATTATTTGATAAATTTTTTGATCCTAGCCTTCTTACTAATTGAGAAACTATCTACACTAATCCTATTTTTTAATAACTTCACAATGATACTAATCATCTTTTTTATGTTACTATGAAGTAATTCAGGATTTTTTTTGATGGCTAACTTCATGAGATTAATCTGATATTTTACTGCCACTTGTATAGTAAATACTATCTAAAGTATATATTATAAAATGCCACTTCATACCTGTAATCACAATACCATAAATATAATTGAAATAGTTATTTTCAAATACTTGATTTGCAATCCATTTCTTTTTATTCATCTAAAATACTTTATATCTTGCTATTGAAAAGGAAAAAGTTAAAGAGATACAAGATACAATTAGTATTATCATCTGATGCTGAGCTTCATGAAAATATATGTAAATAGAATCTTTATATCTTTTCACATGAAGAAATCTCAAAGAAATCAGATCTACTGGAAAGACATATAGTTAGTTTCACTTTTGGCAATCTTAAAATTCTAAAGTCCTTAACGTTTCATAATATATACTTTATTAGTATTATTTGCTTATATAGTAGGCCCTGTATTACAACTAGTCACTCTTTTACATTTTTTCACATTTGTTTAGGAAAAAAATAATAAATAAAAGTTAATATATTTTCTTTTTTAAATATATGTAAAAATTAATATATAGCACAAGATTCCAATTGATAATTCACATTTTCTGTTACATAATTTGATTAGTATTTCAAACATAAATTTAAATATATGCTAGCTAGAGATAAATACAATTATGACAAGTAATATTAATAATAAATTTGTTCAAAGTGAAATACTTGAAAATCAACTATATAAAATACTTTTGTATAAGAAGATGGATATATTAGCTATTCAGAAGTACCTAGCTGAAAGGAATCTTGGTATTAATGACAATGTAAACCAAACAGAATTGAATCAAAGCTAGAAAATGAAAACACTTGATTATACAAATAGACTATTGTTTAATTTAATAGAGATAATTATATCGATAGAGGAGCATTTTGAGATTGGTGAACACCCAACCTTTAATACATTATATTGATATAGAGAAGATCTTATCAATAGATCATTAGGAAAATTTTACTTAGAGAAAAATACTATTTATTTTATATTTGAAAGAGGATTTAAGCATTATTCAACATTATTTTGATATTGTTAGTTATATTGACAAAGAAAAGATAAAAGAAGAAGCTGAGAAAGATGTAAGAGTATATATTTAAAAGTTTAGATATTTCAAGTGTGATAATACAGAAATTTATCAATAGGGGTAAATGCTAATCTATATTTTTTGTCGTATAGGATATAATCTAACAAATAATCTAATTAATAATTATGCAAAATACCTCTTAACCACTCTGAACTAGCTAGATTATTCAGACTCTGATTCAGTTTTAAAGCTAAAAGATTTTGAGTTAGAATAGTAATAATCTTCATCAAAATTTTCAATATAAATATTTGGATTTAACTGGTCTATGGCTTTTTTACTAATATTTTCACATCTTTTCAAATCTAAAAATTTTAAATTAAAATATAAGTAAACAATTTCTTTGATAGTTGTATTAGTAATATTATAATATCTAAGGCTGAGATGCTGAATTTTCAGGCAGGAGTGAATAACATTGCAGATTAATAATTTACTAATAAATATACAATCACATAGATCAAGATATTCTAATTTATGACAAGAATGGGTCAGTACTTCAGTAACCTTATCACTAATATCATTATGACCAATTTCTAAATGTCTTAAATTCAGAGATCTTTTGATGATGGTTATAATCAATTCATTATTTCACAAAGCCATAGCCCCACTAAAGTCAAGATACTCTATTTTAAAATGTCTTCACATTAAAGTACTAGTATCTTTGATATTCTTCTTACTATATGCAATATTAAGATTTTGTAAATTTGAATATAAGTTTAAGATGTAACTTATAGATTTATTTGTGATCTAACGTGTTTTGGCAAAATGAAACACTTGTATATCATGACAATTTTCTGTGATTTCAAAAAAGGATTTATTAGTAATATTTCTGCAGTGAAAAATATTTAGATGTTCTAATTTACAGCATGATTGTACAATTATATATAAGCCTTTATCAATTATTACTTAAGCATTCTACAAATTGAGATATCTTAAATTAGGATATGATTCTGCTATTATA